CTATTTTCACTGTGAACTGCGAAAATTTTGTGAACGATTATTATATTTAACTAAAATTACCAAGCAGGAAAAATTTTGTTACGGGAACATAAATATTATTACGTTAATATATTATCATTATTTTATTAAATATTGTTAATTTAAATTTACAAAGTTGGTTTGTTGTTTACTTATCTTCTATTCATTATTCCCTATTGGAATGTATCAGATTAACATGAAAATTCTAATCATTTTCCTCTCGGCTTGTTCTTTCATGCAAACATAATTGCTTCAGTAATTAAAAAGCTTCTATAGTTATATTACAACGGAAAACACTAAAATGCATGAAAATCAAGTATATGTAATGAATATTAAATGATTTTTTGTTCGTACTTCTGCCATGTAAATCTCTTAAATTATATACATAGCTTTGCTATGTGCATTGTTTACTAGAAATTTCCAATTAAAATCTAATCTTATTGTATTATTCGGTTTATGAGTTTTTAAAATAATGATCTATTACGTATAGGAATACATTTCATCTTAAAGTATAATCTTATTCCAAACGAAATACAATTTTATAACATTATTAGAATTAAGGGTCATTAATTCCTCGAGTCATTATAAATGAAAGGGGAAAAAGTAAACTAAAAGAATTGAAGAATAATTTTCGCAATAATATTATTATTAACTCGATTAGAAGGTATATGAATTGAATTTTTAAAATATCAATAAATTAAATAATTTGTTTCCAATATTTTACTTCATTTCCTTCAAGACCAATAACTCGTAACTCAAGTACACCGTACACTTGCACTCAAAAATCTATCATTACAAAATATTTGCTGTAACTAAATTTATTATTAAATTTTCTCTACAAAATTTGGTAGATACGTCGATCAAGCTGAAACAGGTTTACAATTTGGCCAAAAATTCTTAATGGGCACGATGCAGGTACGCAATCATTCGTCGCAAGATTGTCCCACTGATAGCATTTCCCTTCAAAAACGGTACTCATCACGCTCGAACTACGAGCGTCTCCCTTCGCAGCGCGAAATTTCTGAAAAAAAAGAAATATAATTCGCCGGTGGTTGACTGGCAAAGGTGAAAAGAAAACGAGGGAAGTCCTCTAACGAGCGTCGCTTTCGTCGCGTGGCGATTTGTCTGTTCGCGGCTTGAGAAGTTCGGCCACTTTCGTTCGACGCGTCCTGGAGAGATTGGCCGTTTCGCGGGCATAAAGAAGAAAGCTACCCCCTTTAGCCGGCTTTCAACAAACTCTCTGCCACCCTCTCCTCATGACCCGAAACCGCGGCCGGTTATAAAGCATTCTTCCAGTTTATTAGACGGAGACTCGCGGGCTTCTTTTTATATTAAGCATGTGCATTATTAATGCGCGAGTATAACCGTAAAATGCTGATGAAAAAAAGTTGCGGAGCCCCACGGGCGTTTCTTCGTGGCCAGGCGGAAAGAGGGCTCCTGCGAGATTGCTGCTTGACCGACTATTCCTTCGTCAGTCCTGCTTGATAACGTGCAACGAATTTTCAAGAACAAATTTCTCTACTTGTTTCGCGTCGAGAATCCTATTTTCCTAGCCCTTTGTCATCTTCGTGGTATCACGAATGTTTAACCCTCGATATAATTAAGTTCTTTCGTTGCTCGGTATCGAAAATTATATTCCTGTCACCTTCTGCAATTTCGGTAGTACCGCGAATGTTTAATCTTCCCTTTCGTCAATTTCGTTCCATGTTTGGTGTCGAAAAGTTCATTCTCGTAGTCTTTTGTAATTTGGGTCGTATTACGAATGTTCACTTTGAGGTTCCATTCCTTTTTTTCTTTTATTCGTGTATTTTTTTCTTACAATTATACACATCTTGTCTGATTGTATGTTTGTATCTTTTTATTTTTATTTTTATTTTATTTGTATTTTTCTTTGTTACCATTAATTTTATAACTCACTGTAATAATTTTCTTCTAATTTTTCTAATGGGTTAATCCCGTATAAATAAATAAATAAATAAATAAAGAAGCGTTTCATATTAATTTGTTCGTATAAAGCTTCTATAGCTGAGAAATTGCCAGATCAAATTAAGTATTTGTCTAATTATCGGAATGCACTGAAACTATTATATTAAACGTAAAAATATCTTCGGAACAGCTCTTCCTTATCAATTTATCAATTACTACACTTCCGGCCTATCTAAAATTAATTTTGAATGCAGATCTAATAATGAACAAACTGAGATCAATTCTATTTAGTTTATATAAATTAATAATTAATCCTAGAATATTAGAGATCAATGAAACGAGTTAAATTTGATTTATTCCAGTTAAATTCATCTACATCAGTGGTATCAAATTCACTCAAGAAAATGAATCGCGAAAGCTTCCCTTTCTTTTTCTTTTTCTTCTTAATTCCACTTTTCTCACTGTAATAATTTTCTTCTAATTTTTCTAATGGGTTAATCCCGTATAAATAAATAAATAAAGAAGCGTTTCATATTAATTTGTGTAATAAATATTTTAGTGAAACCAATTTCAACTTTGTTCCGCGGACCGCATTCTGAGGCGTATGGGCCGCGTGTTTTACCCCATTGATCTACATTCGTCCATACTTCTTCATACTCGATACAATTCCCTGTCTACATCGTATCTAAAAAATCACAAAATTTCTTAATATACAATTCTTTTCCCCTCGCTTTTCCACGAAATTACACAAACACATCTTATCAATGGCCCTAAAAGAAGTCGTTATCCGCGTTAAACAAAAATTATTCATCGTTACTCCCGGTATGCCGATCGACCTCCAAAGCAGGTGGTAGCTCCTCTCGATCTTGGCGTTCATCCTTGCCACCCCGCGATCGCTGAATATTTCATCCGAAAGATCTGTATTTTTCTTCGGGTGATTGTCATTCGACGAGGAGCAGAAGCGACGGGCATGCCGGCAGGCTAAAGCAAAATCAATTATTCATCCGAATTGGTCGGGAAAAAGTCCTAATTATCCGGGGCAAATACAAGCTTAATACGCGGAGAGAAGTGTACCAGCCTTTCCCCATCCACCCTCCCCCCTTTGCCCCTCTCTCTCGTTCATGCAGCCCTCCATCGGTTAGTACTTGGGCTCGCAGTCGGTCTTCAGGCTTCCTTCTTACCGTGAATAACCATTTGTATTTCCAATTAGCTTTGCTAATAAGAAGACGGAGGCATTGCCGTAGTTAAAAAAATGTATAACCTCATCCAGCCACTGGGGAAATAAAGAAAAGCGCCGCTCCGGTATTTGACAATACCGGCGGGTCGAGCGGGGTTATACCGGCTGAACTACAATTAAAAATCCTCGCTTCACCCTCGCTTAACCCTGCTTCCTCCTTATGCCGTATTAACGACCGGGACGTGCAGGGAGGGGACACGAAACATCCTACCAAACATCGAGGCTTTTTTTGCCAATTTTATGCTTGACCCCATCTCCACCCCATCCTTGTCCGTCTCTACCCTCTGTCTGTCCGTCTCACTGTCTGTCTGTCTGTCCGTTGGTCCGTGCTGTTCTATCTTTATTTCCCGTTCAACGGTTCGTTTCTTGGGTCTCTTTACTCTTGTGGCTCCGTTATTCGATGTGCTGCGTTTGTTCCTTGTCAGGGTGGACCGATCTGTTACGCTTTCGGTTTTTCCTTCGGAGAAATCGCAGATGAAATCTTCGTTCCGCGAGTTCTTCCGGATCGGGATGAAGCTCACGTTGCGTGGTAACATGTAACGTAATTTTTCTTATTTCCTCTTCACGGTAAAAATTGCATTCGATACTTTATCCCAACGGGACACATTGCCGAGAACCTTCTGCAAAGTGCCACGCACAAATTTATTTTTATTTCTATGTTTTTATCATCAGGTGTAATACTTATTTAATTATATTAATTATATAAATTTAATTGTATTAAATTCTTCTATCACGTTTGCACGTATGTATATTCGAATATGTCTTGTTTTAATATCAAATTAAAGAAAATATCCGCTTGTTCAATCTTTTGCTTCCTTCGCAACGCATCTAATTATTTTCAATAATCTTATTGAAAATTTCGAAAATTTCTATTTTTTTTGTATTAATTCCCCTTCTTTTACAATAAAATTCATGGCGCCTTGGCAACTCAGTTTTTCCAACATGCAATACACTCTATAACAGCAATTATATATTATTATTATTATAGCAATTGTTCAAAGACGATGATAGAAAGGGTAAGAGCACATCTGGAACTCAGTGTACATAAAAAGGTACTAAAATATTTCTATAAAGCAATTTCCCTTTACAATGTTTATATATGTATATTATTTCGGGACAATAAATATCTTGCCACTAAATTGCAATACATAATTAAAGAATTATGTGACACCCGTTACCCATAATTCGAGGCACACAGCATTTAACCATGCATAATATGATGAATAGATCGATAGATCCGAGGACAAATGTTGGCAGAAAAAGTAGGAGCGCCTATTGACAATCAGCACGGTCGTTGGGTAAATCGAATTTCGTTGAAGGCAGCCCCGTGTTTGCAAACTTGGATTTCCGTTCGATTTCCAACTCGCAAGGTGCCCTATGTTGATCGTCAAAGTCAGCACAAGGTCCACTAAACACAGTTTCTTCTCAGTCACCGTCGACGCACTGTCAAATGTGTGTCGCGTGTTGTGATATCCTCGTCAACGGATTCCATCCATGGTGAGAAACGGACTCTCGAATTTTCCTACGTGCCAAACGAGAATTCTGACACCTTCCACTGCTCCGTGCAAAGTTTCGAGTAAGTACAATCGTCTGTATGATACCTGCAAACTTGTTATCAATCTAAGAATAATACGTTCGATGAACGATGCAAACGGTGACATTCGTTGTTGAATAAAATATCGAATATTTTTGAAAACATCGCGAAATTATCTGGATCAGCGGGTACATAGGTGCAATTAGTAGTTCCTTCTTATTTTTAAGCCGATGTAATCACACTGTCAATGTATGTTTAGCTGGTGTTTATTCGCAACAAACGAAAATGAGAGTGAAAACCGTGCCGAGACAACGAGTGATTCAAGGTAACAAGAACGTTGACCCAGTGTCCGAAACTGTTACTGGAAAAATTGAAAACCCGGACCAGTCTACATCGGATGGTGACGAGAAAGAGACGACAGAGGATGAAAAAGACGTGTCACACGAATCGACCGAGTGTGTGGATGCGAAAGGAAGCGAATTGAAGGATGAATCCGTGAAGAGTGAGAAAGAGAAAGAAGCATTGGCTTATTCGGAGGAAGTATTAGATATGTCGATTAAACATAAGGTACGCCGTGTCACTGCTCTCGAGTGTGTGTGTGCATGTGTATATGTGTGTTTGTACGACTGTTGAATTCATGCGCGTAGACGTGAACGACATGATAACACATTCCTCAAAGTCGTGGCGAAAATATAAACACATGTATTGAAATGTCATTCGCGTGAGCTTCTGAAGTAGTATTAAATCTATAAATATTGCGTTCGATATGCCGAATTTATTTAGTTGAATGGCTTATAATGTTGTTAAGTGTTAAACGATATTTTTGTAAACCGTAGTTTGTAATAAATTCATATTTCTATAGCGAATGTGACATTTCTAATCTGGTTTCATTGCATTAAATTTTAATTTAATACTTAATAGTGTTTAAACTTTTATCAATCTATATTTTATTAGCGAATATATTTTTAATATGGTCTCTTTACATTAAATTTTTCATTCAATACCTAGTAGTATTTAAATTTTTATTAACGTACATTTTGAAGACGAATAGCTTTCAGTAAAATAACATTTTATATTATATTATATTATATTATGTTATATTATATTAAATTTTTTAATTTAGTATTTAATAGTATTTCAAATTTTGAAGTGTATATTTTAATGAAAATTATTTTCGTTGGAAACGAAGATCGTTTACATTGCAAAATATATATAAACTTAAGTATATAATTTATATAATAAAGATTGCGTGATATGTTATGACAAAGGTTAGCTCTATTTAAGATAAAAGTATATTCTTATTTGCATAATTAGTATATGCATTTAATTTTATGAAATCAATAATAAGCTTTAATTTTACTATTGTAGTTACATCATATATTATATTAAATGTTACTATACATCAAATCAATAATTTATAGCATCTTTTTATCACTATTAGCAGACGATTTTCAAAGTATTAACGAATGTTTCTAGACATTTTATTGATGAAAAGTTTAAGTTACCGTATTGTAGTATTAATTTGATTATTCTTAATTATATATTTTCATTTACTCCACAGTTACAGGATAGCTTGTGTTGTCTAATCTACAATATATTGAAATAATTATTGAAATATTTCACTTTAATTTTTTAAATATTGTATTTATTTTTATAGACTGAAATTCCGGACAAGGATTCAACGCTCTTTAGCTTGATAACCAGTCCAACTTTCAAATACGTCTACTCACATTTAAAAGAGGATAGGAAAGAATCGATCTGCAACGACGACAATAACAACGTATGATTTTCATTATTAGTGAATAAACTGCTGATGTTTACGTAAGTATAACATAAATATAAAATACTAAGGAAATACACTAATGGGCAAAGTTAAGGCATACTTCCAATTTTTTACCTACTATGATGTCTTAAACAAGTGTCATTCGAATAATACAAAACATTAACGTGAAAATGTGTTAGCTATAACTACATTCTTCGTTTCATAATAATATACTCAATCGACAACGAAATACTTTCTTATTTATCTTAATAATATTCCACATTACATTACAAGAGACGATACCCAGATGAACAATTAACTTCAAAAAATTCTAAATTTCAATTGCAAGTTATAGTAATCGGCCACCTAATAACCGAGATGAGTGTCATTCCTTAGTTCGATATAGGATAAAAAAATAAGGTCAAAGTGTCCAAAAACAAGTAAATAAGATTATTCTGTTAATTTTCTTATTTTGGGGATTTTTCCGTATACACGCAAATGAAGTAATAAAATTAGAATTTTGTTACTAAAAAATTAGTAATAAAATTCTTCTCAAATTTTTGAAACAAACTTTTCGTCCGAGTTCGATCATTGTTAATGGATTTTCGATAAACACGTTACTAACACGAGTTATGTCAATGGTCGAAACGTAGAGGGAGAATATATACAAACAGAAACATTCTATGCAAAGGAACATATGTATTATGCAAAACACGTCGCGAACTTCAACCTCTTCGACAACAAAACAAATTTCGGCTCTCATCTCGTTCCTCTAACTCTTTCTTACCAAAATATTTACATAAAGATCAGCAGTCCGCTATCAGATCGCTCTTTCAAAATTGCCGTGTTACAAACTAATCGATCGATTTTAGGTATTACCTTCAAAGACAGAGCCAGAGAGCTGTCACTCGGTAGCCGATTCATCGAGCAAAGCCGATCCAGAATCGCGCGAAAAGAAATTGCGCGACGAGGACAAGCCAGCAGAGGCTGTTAATCTGTGCAAAAGGGACTGTCACGAGGAAGACGCATCGAACTCCAGCGTGGGATCCAACGAAAGGTTAAAGGATACTTTCCTTTACAAAATCATGACAGATCCAAAGTTCCTGGAAAACATACAGAAGCACAAGCAGTCGAAGCGAAACGTGTGTAAATTTTGCAAGCAAGAGTTTAGCAACGGCGACGAGCTGATTGATCACATGGACGTGAAAAAGGACGAGTCGAATCAGGTGACTTGCTGCGCCTGCAAAAGGACGTTCACGCAGAAACGGTACCTAAGATATCACCAGAGGTGTCACTCCGAGAGGACCATGTTCACTTGCAACATCTGTACCAAAACATACACCAGACTGGACAATTTATCCAGGCACAACGCGTTCCACGTGAATCCAGACAAATTCCTGTGCACCTACTGCGAGAAGACGTTCACGAGGAAGGATCTGTTGAACAAGCATTTGAAATGTCACGACAACAAGTATCGCTTCTTCTGTGAGATCTGCAAGAAATATTTCAAAGGTCCGCTCAGACTGAACAACCACAAGAAGAACGTCCACTTGACTGCATAAATTTATTTTCAATTATATTTATAACGGTAGAACTATAATATATAAGTTAGTGTAAAATGTTAATCCTAGGGAGCGAAGCAAATTCAAGAATTTGAATTTCTGCCTCGTTCAAATCGGAAAGTCTGAGACTGAATAGAAAATAAATTACGTTCGACATTATTTTGTTTTCTGTCGTTTATTCAGAATTTTGTTGAAACAGTGAGTTAACTTTTTCAAAGCCAGAGAACACTTTTGATCGGAGGCAAAATTTATCGAAAATTAAAATTCCCAAGACTATAAATCTAACAATAAAAATAAGTATACACGTATCTTTAAATAAAAATTATATATCTAAGGATTGTAAAATAGATTCTGCGATATAAGTTCTGTGAGCTTTCAAAATTTCTCGGAACCACATACTGTGTTACGATTTCTATTTTTGCTGGTTGTCTACAATTCGTAATTGTCTTACTGTTTAGTAAACAAATTACTAAATTGCTTAGTCCTAGACCAGAGTTTCTTAACCTTTCTGGCTTGTGAGCCCCTTTAAAAGTTTAAATTTATAAGAAATATACATAGATATTTGTATCGTATACTTGTGTATGTAAATCAATATATAAATACTTGTTGTTGCTATAAATATTTTCGTGTGACTCCGAGACGAAGCTTTATACAAATAAAATAGCAATAGATCATTAATTATTTTTTAAAAGCACTTTTGGTCTATATAAAGATATAAAGCATGGTACAGATATATAGCTTTTCAAATTTGGACGGGAACAGAAATGTTGTTTTAAAATTTCATTTTCTAGAACAATGTTACGATTTAGCTCTCGACATCCCAACACAGGCTGTGATGGTAAACGAGAAAGTAGTCTATAACTGGAATAGGGATATGAACTCCTGCGTGTCTTCTTCTCGCGGACGAGCAGTAATATGTACATGAGCCATTCACGAGTCAAAGTAATCAAGCCTATTTAACAAATTTTTTAAAAATCCCACAGTCAAAGCAATTTATCGACATTTAACTTCTGATATTTAAAATAAATTTCTATCCACTATTCTCGTAGAGCCGATCGATTTGGCAAATGAATGACTCACGTAACGAATCATTTCAATGCCGAAGTACCTAAACATTTTTCAAAAATCAGCTCTATAATTCGTCCGAAATAAAAAGGCACAGAACACGACGAAACAATGAGATTTTGCAAAAGTTGCTCCACATTACTCCGAGTTAAAGAATCGAATCGAGGGAGGGACTTCATTGATTCATTGTTTAAACAACAGGGTGCTCCAAACGCATTGCACCCACACGTGAGAAAAAAAACCGGAGAAACACTACAAGAAAATTCTTTTACCCCGAATACCTCGCGTGGTCTCGAGAACTTTCTCTCTCCCTCTCTCTCTCTCTCTTTTCTTTCCGCTTTTTTTCTCCTCTTTTCTCGTTTGCCCGCTTCCTCTCCGCCGTTCGTTCTTCCCACCATTGCACCCCTGCGTTTCTTTCACCCCTTCTCCCTCGGTCTTCCAGTTGGAATCTAAAACATAATCCGTTTCTTCCGTTCTGCCTCTCGCCCCGGCCACTTCGCGAAAAAAGCGAGCACTCTGTTTGTTTCGGCTCAAAGGGTACAGCGGCGCCGCAATAAGGAGCACTTTGAAAATCCGACGTATTACCACGGCACATCCAATCGCGAAATAGAACAGCCATGAAGGTTGACCCGCGTCCCTTCCCTTCCATTTCCGCTTTTACCACCCCCTCGCTGCCAGTTTTCTTATTTTTTCCTGACAGCTTTCTTCCAGCCGCCCCTCTCCGCCGCCACTTCACTTTCTCTGTCTTTTCCTCTTACTCGCCTCCTCTTGGTCCCGGTTTAATGCAATTAAGTCGAGCGTTAAAATATCGTTCTTAATTCGCCGGCAGCACCTTTTGTTTCCTCTGTGGTTTAGCGCGAGCAGCTTGCGTTCGTTCCTCATTCCTGCCACTCTTTCTCTGTTTCATTCCCGTTGCCACGTTTTTCGGCTCTTTCCAGCTGCGTCTCCTTCTTCTTTCTCTTTTTTTTTCCCTTTTTCTTTCTTTTTTTTTCGTTTCTTCCCCCACCCTCAGAAGGAATCACACACGTCCAACCTGCGCGTGTACCACGTCGCGAGATAAAACTTCCCTTTTGACGTCTGTAATTATTTTTTCACTCGCCAAGCTGTTCCTTGATATCCTTCTTATTGAGCACTTAGGTGTTTCACTTGGTGTATTCGATGCGAGGAACGATTGTAGGGTTCTGCTTTATACGTTGAGTGAGGTGCTCCGTGCAGTGTGAATGTGTCAAGGATGTGTTGCTTCCTGGGAGTTTGGTCATTGGAGATTGATGAGCACTTTGAGTATCGAAAAATGGTATTATTGTACGGTAATTGGTAATTGGTCGGTTGTGGAGGTGTATACGTGTGTTTTAAAGGTAAAGTAAATAGGGCGCGATGAAGTAATTATGTCTTTAGTAATTACAGAGGGAGGTACTCCACAGCTATTTGAGCGACGAAATATGTTGCAGTGGTAGTATTTTGAGTAGCTTCTTTCTGTGTCATAACGTCATTTATACAAAAATGTGCTGAGTTTGTTCTAAACAAAAAATATTTCAATTTGTACAGTTCAATTGGAAAATTGTGTAATGTTATTCAAATATATATTTGTTCACAAGTAACGTTGCTACCATTTTAGCATTAATTATCGTAACTATTGTTTCACGTACAATTATTTTGTTAATAAGTAGCGAGCAACATCCAATATTTTTAGAAGGTTAAATTGGTTCATGACTATGCCTATGTAAGTCAAAATCACGATCACTGAAATTGAGTACTTTAAACTATACAATTGCCTAAAATATTTTGTTTGATATTTCTGAATCTAAACCCACATTGTTAAAAATATTTCTGTAGAAAATTAAATATTCCATGTTCACCTATATCGATGAGGTATGTCTCCTTCTAAGTAATTGCATTTTTACACGTTTAAAAATGATCGTTATTTCATTCGTACACGTGTTCTTAAAATAGGTTAATATTCTCGTATAAAGTTGTACCGAGAGGATTTTATTCCTCTGAAATGAAAATTAATTTTGTCTTGAGTTAATCACGAATATGTAATGGCGCTGTAATTTTTGAAAAGTTTGTACTTTATTATTAAATTCAATAGCAGATTATTAAATTGTATAATAGTTTTAATAGATTCTTAATAATTATTATAATCAATATATTTTTCAAAATCTTTGGAAATGTTCGTTATTCATTGATTAATTTAGGATTAATTTTATACCTATTTCAAATAATATAGTTGAATTATAAGCATGCTATTAACATTACATCTAGGAAACCAGTCAAATTAACTGGTTTCAGATTATTTTTGCAAATACTGAAGGTATGTAACTGTTTTGGGTAAAATTATTTTTGATTGATCATAATAAAAGACATAATATATGTGCTTCTTTTATCATATAACTTTAATTATTATTGTATATCTGTATCATATTTAAATACGGCCTAATACTTGTTAGTATTAATATTAATAATGTAGTATTGTATATTAGCGTTAGTATTGTTAGTAGTAATTGCATGTAATATCAAATATTCAAAATAATTCTTTTGGAAACAACTAATTAAGTGATACATACTCCACCAACTTTTAAAAGTAATGTCCTTTGCATACATAATTGAGCCGTTCACTGCACAAATCGATTAACTCCACTTTTTGAAAAATCTCAAATTTAAACGTCAAAGCACTTGGTATAGACATAACGTTTTATATTTGTAATAACTTTCCCTGATAATTAAAATTAACACCATTAAACGACAAAAATGTTTTGGTCACTGAGTAATAAATAATTTATTTCAGAGCTCACTTTGATCACTGTAACTCCGTACTCTAACGTAAATCGTTGCAATAATGCAACTCAAATGCACTAGCAAACCGTGAATGATAACAGTGAATTTTTTAGTGTCATCTTATCAGAATTTAAGTAAAATTTAGTAAAATTTAAATTTATAACTTTTCCACTTGCCAAATCGATTAATTCTCTCAGTAACATAAAAATGGTAAGATTACTAACGATTAGCTTTTGGCTATTTTTTCTTATAAATTTTATATACCGTTAAATGAAAGTTACATTTGCATTTATGCATTCTACAATATTTATTTCGATTTAAATTATGAAGGGAATTTTAAAAAACTATATACATTATTCCATTGCATTTCTCCAACTTTTGTTTTATGGAGTTAATCAATTTGTGCAGTGAATGGCTCAATTGTATCTTCTTCCAAATCGTAAATGAAGAATAAAAAGTAAGAAATATCAGTGATAATATTCCCAAATCAAGATATGAACCTACATATAGGGAAACAGAATTTCAATTTTTATTTTTTCAAACAGTAATAGATTTGATAATCTATATAAACTTGAACTTTACCCTCCTGTGTAAAAGCATCTCTCTATGATCATTATCGTCCTCTGTCACATCTTGACGACCCAAAAGATTTTCGCGAATCTTTACAGAAGAGCACAGAAGGAATGCACGCTGCTTCTCTTTCGTTTACACCTCTTTTTCAACCTCTTGTTACGTCCAAGCTTGTCCCTTTGATCCGGCTTATTCGGCCAGCGTATGTCATGGAGCTGACCAAAAATGTGACAAAGTTTTCGCGAACGTCCTGGCACGAATGCCAGCAGAGATTTTGTGGTCCCTTTGCTGCGCGTCGAACTCTGTTCTTCCTTTGCGCGTTTGACCACCCTCGTCCTTTTGACAATTACATGTCCGACAAGATTCTTGAATATTCATCAGGAATTTCGTGATTCGTGGAACTGCGTTTGAAGTATTCTTTGCCACTCTGTGGGAAAAACCATAGTGGGCTTAAAATTGAGGAAAAAGAACATTTCATGGGAAAAGAATACACATTGTTTTCGGAATATTAAGATTCACAGTTTAAATATAGCGTACATTCTAAAATCAATTTCGATAACTCTAGCAGTTCAATTTCCTGCTTTTTCTTG